TCCAGACTAACACGGATACCCCTCTGATACTTGGTATTACAGTGTAGTTCTTTGATTTTCCAAAGCTTGTGAGTCAACAATACTCGCTGATGAATACACAGCAAACTGTACTTGTCGCCAAAGAAATCACTAAGGACAAGCTTTTCAGCTGGGGTTCAGGTGCACTGACTTCCATGGAGCGACACTAAATTACATCATTTGAGGAAATGCACCTTCAATGGGTAATTCTGCTGAAAAGAGCATAAGAATTGCTAGACTGGACCTCACCACTTGTCAGCTTAATCCATTCTCCTGTCTCCAATAGTGAGTAGTAACAACTGCATCAGAAGAAAGTAAAAGACCACCGAATTGGTCCTTTCTGGACTAACCTTTCTTCCTAATACGGCGAAGTGAAAATGGCTAAATGACTTTCTAAAGTTTTGACTTGCTAAAGTTACTAAAAAGATTTCAATACCCTAAATCTATTTCCAATGAATAGGAAATATTTTTCTCAATTGCATATGTTGCTCCTAAAATAAATCATGAATCCACAAGCTACTGCAACTGAATAAATACACAAGATAATTATGGAAGAACATCCTGATCCCTAATAAATATCACAGTGAGTACATATAAGACTCAGTCTTACAGGAAAATAAGCCCTACTGTCACATTTCTAGAGTTCGAAAGCGATTGAGTTGAATTGGACTTACCCAGTTGAATGAGGAGATGAAGTCCGGAGAAGTGTTTAGAAGAGCCCTGAGTGGTGAGTGCTTTTATACGGTCCGTAGGACTGCCTGGAGGATCTGTGATGCTGTTTATGGAGGCGGTTGTAATTAGGTACCAAACAAACTTGATTGTCTTGCAAAATCCTCCTTTGATGCAGCTGTTTTCCTCAGGGGGTGTGATTATTAGGTTAATCTGATCCTCAGAGAGCGTGACATGCACATTGCACTCTTCATCTATCTTTCATCTTCCAATAGTAGGGGCCAACTGCGTTCCTCGTGCCATTCCATTGACTTGATTGGTGCTTTAATGAGAATGAATGTCAAGGTTATTCTGAGCAGCATCAAGTGAGTGTGATGAAAGGAATCCAGTATGGTCCTTTCCATTCATGCTGGCCATAGTTCAGGGCATTGGGCAGTTCATTCTAATCCTGCAAGGAAGGAGGCAGCCATTTTTCTGCATTCTGAAAGGGTCAGACCCAATTCACTTTGAAGTTAATGGGAATCATTCCATTGCCCACCAGCATATTTCTTGTCAAGGCCTTAAATCTGAAATTCACCCTTTGGCGGGGTTGATACGATGACTATGAACAACTTTAGTCCAATTTTAAACTTTCACACTGAGTCTTAACAGGGTCTCAAATGCAGTATGGGCTTTTGTGATGGCTGTCTGCCCAGGGGTGAATCTTACCCTATGGTGAGTAATACTTGTCCTGACATTGGACCTCCACTTGGGTCACCAATGCTCTCTCAAAGGGCTGCGTAGATCAGATTTGCTCATGGGTGAAGGGGAGGTATGGTGGAGAGTGAAAGGAAGCGGTGCTCTTTTATGTCAGGATCTCTCCATCCATGAGCAGCCAAGAAAAGGACGTCTTGTGAGACAAGGCAGCTGACTGAGCCCAGCAACAAGCCGAGGAGAGATGAAAATCACCTTCTTGAGGAAGGAGGAGATGGCTGTGGGATGAGATTTGACATAAACTGTGACCAGCCATAGGGCATGTTGCAAAAACATTCCTGCCAGAACCAGCATGTTATGTAAAGTGTAACGGATACCCGCAAGGGTGGGTTCCATATCCGGGGAATGAGCAGAGGAGTCTTCCTTTGATTATGAGGCCCTGAAGCTCTTTGAAGTTGAAGCAACTTTGCTGATTTAGTCCGAGGGGGCATCTTCATTTCCTAGTTTTAAAAAATACCAAATGCAAAACTACATTCAAATGAAAATGAAACAGCCCCAGATTGTGTGGCTTTAAGCTATGACGCGCTTAACAGAAGGACATGGGAGCTTGGCCTCCATTCTGTTTAAAGTGACTCTATTACTCAGCGCAGAGATGTCTAATCCCAACAACAATTTATTCACATTTCAAGCATAGAACCCTTTGCAGGTGTGAAACACCCGTGAGCGTTTGTGAGGGGCTTTGAAATCTGGAGTTCTGAGGACCCTGAAGAACTTCCAGCCCCAACCCCCTGACTCTCTATGATTGAGAGGAGTAGAAACAGAGGGACGTAGAGATGACCTCAGGGTCAGTGGGAGGAACAGAAGTAGAACCCAATACTTCTGACTCCTCCTACCCCAGGCAGGGCTGTCACTAGGGAGGGGCGAGCAGGTCAGTCGCTGAGGGCGTAGAGCTACTGGGGCACAAAAATGAGGCAGGTCAAGTGTAGTGGCCTTCCCCATCCCGCAGGATCAGGCCCAGCAGTGTCCAGATGGAGCCCAGGGTGCTCAGAGCCCCCCTGCCCATAAGGATCACGGGCCCAGGGGCCCAGGCAATGGCAGGTCCGGGGCACGAGGACGCTAAGGGGGGGTCATGCAGGCAGGGTGCTGAGCGCTGATTGGCTCCTACTGAGCGTGCTCATTGCTCAGTAACATCTGCTGAAGCTGCTGCGCTTGCTGGCAATTAAAAAAGTGAAAGGGG